CTCTGGAAGTTGTTGTTGTTGTTATTATTACACAATGTTATCACCGTTGATTTGGTTTGGCTCCGTGTCCCCACCCAAATCTCACCTCTAATTGTAATCCTCACATGTTGAGGGAGGGACCTGTAATTCCCATGTGTCAAGGGAGGGAGGTCATTGGATCATGGGGGCGGTTCCCCCATGCTGTTTTCATGATAGTGAGTTCTCCTGAGAGCTGATGGTTTTAAAGTGTGGCACAACCTCATTCTTGTATGCTCTCTCTTGCCTGTGGCCTTGTGAAGAAGGTGTCTGCTTCCCCTTCTGCCTTGACTGTAAGTTTCCTGAGGCCTCCCAATCATGCAGAACTGTGCGTCAATTAAACCTCTTTTTTTTCTTGAGATGGAGTCTCACTCTGTTGCCCAGGCTGGAGTGCAATGGCACAATCTTGGCTCACTGAAACCTCCGCCTTCCGGGTTCAAGCAATTCTCCCTGTCTCAGTCTCCCGAGTAGCTGAGATTACAGATGCCCACTACCACGCCCACCTAATTTTTGTATTTTTAGTAGAGATCAGGTTTCACCACGTTGACCAGGCTGCTTCTGAACTCCTGAATTCGGGCGATCTGCCCGCCTCTGCTTTCCAAAGTGCTGGGATTACAGGAGTGAGCCACCGCGCCCAGACAATTAAACCTCTTTCTTTTATAAATCACCCAGTCTCGGGGATTTCTTTAGAGCATTGTGAAAACAGACAAATACAATTATTATCAGCTGAATTGTCTCCCCAAAATTCATATACTGAAGTCCTGATCCCTAGTACCTCAAAATGCGACTGTATTTGGAGATAGGGCCTTTAAAAAGGTAATTAAGTTAACATGAGGTCATAGGAGTAGACCCTAATCCAGTGTGACTGTCTCTTCATACGAAGAAGGGATTAGGACACAGACACGCAAAGAGGCATGTGCACGTGAGGCTGCAGAGAGAATGGCTCTCTACAAGCCAAAGGGCCTCCGAAGGCTCTGCGCATGCCTTGGTCTCTGATTCCTATCCCTCAGAGCTGTGAGGATATGTACGTCTGTTGGTTAAGCCCCTCCCCCAACCTCGGTCTGTGGTACCTTGCCAGGCAACCCTTGCTGACGAATACAATATTATCACAGAATAAAGAAGTGGCCAAACTGCATCTGAAACTGGCAGGATGTCCCCTCCTGTACACTCAATATGACAGTTTCCAAATGATTTCTGGGTGATGCTGAAGAAACCTATGTGACATCTAAGTTATCTGGGATCAAAAGCCAGGTATAGGAGGCTTCTCAGAATGGTATTGATGGGAAAGGGCCCCAAGCCCAAGTCAATGGAGCACCCCACAGTTCAGTTCAAAGGGGCCGAATTAGAAAGAAGAGTACCAACCATGTGAAGAAGTGGACACAGCGGGAGGAGGCACAGGTAGAGGCCAGCAGGCAGCCTGACTTGGTGAATCTGGGTCCTGGTTGGGACAATGCGGGCCAGGAAGGAATGGTGTGTCTCAGGAAGGGACAGTGTGGGCCAGGATGGGATGGTGCAGGTCATCACTCCTGCCAGGACGTCCTTCCACACGTGCTCTCTCATCTGGCTAACAGCAGTGTCTCAAGGGGGAAGGTCCCTGACAGTCCCAGCTGCAGTGAAGCGATTCTCTTTTCAAGCTGGTCACGTGCGCAGTTCAACAAGAAGAAACTAAAAGAGGAGTTCATTCTGTCAAATCAAGGTGCTTGTATGACTAGAGGGAGCATCAGGGAAAGGGTCTGTTTTAAGTCAGTGTTTTCCAAGAAATGCCTTATCAAAACCACACTGGACCGGGTGCAGTGGCTCACACCTGTAATCCCAGCACTTTGGGAGGCTGAGGCAGCTGTACTACCTGAGGTCAGGAGTTCAAGACTAGCCTGGCCAGCACTGTGAAACCCCATCTTTACTAAAAATACAAAAATTAGCTGGGCGTGGTAGCATGCACCTGTAATTGCAGCTACCCGGGAGGCTGAGGCTGGAGAATCATGAATCACTTGAACCTGGGAGGCAGAGGTTGCAGTGAGCCGAGATCACGTCAGTGCACTCCAGCCTAGGCGACAAGAGTGAAATGATGTCTCAAAAAACAAAAACAAAAACCAAACAAAAAAATGCGTCATTGAAATAAAAATGAAGATACAATAGTTCTTAGTGTGATGGGATTGTGGGTAAGCTTCAGGAACATTACCCTGACTTTTGATTTAATCTCATTGTGCTCTATTTTCAGTGAACTCTTTTTAAAGAGTGCCCTGGACTGATGTAAGTCCAGCTAGTTTTTCCGGCTCCCACCCTGTACCTGCTGACATGCAGACTGCTCTTGCGAGGGCGATCTGTGCCCTTTCTTGCTGCTTCCTCATCCCTTCCACTTTCATTTACTTTTTTTTTTTTTCCAGACAGAGTCTTGCTCTGTCGCCAGGCACTAGGCTGGAGTGCAGTGGCGCAATCTTGGCTCACTGCAAACTCCGCCTTCCGGGTTCAAGCAATTCTACCTCAGCCTCCCGAGTAGCTGGGATTACAGGCGCATGCCACCATGCCCAGCTAATTATTGTATTTTTAGTAGAGATGGGGTTTCCTCGTGTTGGCCAGGATGGTCTCGATCTCTTGACCTCATGATCCGCCTGCCTCGGCCTCCCAAAGTGCTGGGATTACAGGCATGAGCTACCATGCCTGGCCCACTTTCATTTACTTTTTAAAAATATTAAATTTTTTTTAAAAAAAATTTTATGAAACAGAGTTTTACTATGTTGCTGAGGCTGGACTCAAACTCCTGGGCTCAAGTGATCCTTCTGTCTCAACCTCCCGAGTAGCTAGGACTACAGGTGCAAGCCAACATGCCCAGCCATTACTTTTTTAAAAACTAATTTATTAGGCCAGGCATGGTGGTTCACACAAGTAATCCCAGCATTTTGGAAGACCGAGGCTGCGGGTCACCTGAGATCAGGAGTTCTAGACCAGCCTGGCCAACGTGATTAAATCCCATCTCTACTAAAAACACAAAAAATAGTTGGGTGTGGTGGCTTGCATCTGTAATCTCAGCTACTCAGGAGGCTGAGGCAGGAGAATCACTGGAACCCGGGAGGGGGAGACTGCAGTGAGCTGAGATCATGCCACTGCACTCCAGCCTGGGTGCTAGAGTGGGATTCTCTCTCAAAACAAAACAAAAAACAAATTTATTTTTTACTGAGGTGATAGTCATATAACACAGAGTTAACCGTTTGTAAGTGAACAAATCAGTGGCATGTGGCACAGTCACAGTGTTGTGCAGCCACTACCTCTGTCTAGTCCCAAACATTTTCATCAGAAAAGGAAACCCTGTTCCCATTAAGCAGTAGCTGCCTATTCCTTCCTCCCTCCCTTCAGCCCCTGGCAACCACCCATCTGTGTTCTGTCTCTGTGAATTTACTTACTCTGTGTATTTTATATAACTGGAATCATACAATATGTGACCTTTTGTGACAGGCTTCTTTCACTTAGCATAGTGTTTTCGAGTTTCATATGCACTGGGTCATTCCTTTTCATGACCAAATAATATTCCATCATATGGATATGCCACATTTTGTTCATCATTCATCAGTTGATGGACATTTGGGTTGTTTCCAC